GGGCTGTGGTTTGGACTCTGATCCTGAGCTCTGGGGTTGGGGTCCAAGTCAGAGCCACAACTTCTGTGCCCCCTCAACTGCCTGCACGCAAGACAAGGGCAAATACGGTAGTCCCTCATGGATCAATTCTCTGTCTGTGAGAGAGGGATAATAGTATCACTGAACAGTATCCCGTGAAGGTAATCATGTTCATGCTGTGGGACATGGAAGGTACATGGTAAAGTCTATAATAGAATGTCTCTGAATGGAGCTAATTGTGCTTTGAGGTGTCACCCTGGAACGAAGCATGTAACAGGCCTGTAGTACCAGTAATGACTAAAAATTTGTCCTAGTAAGGGCTTGTTTCTAAGGTTTGTAAAGACTTGGCATCCTGGTCTTATTCTACTCTAGTTGGTTTAATTATGCTTTTACTTACATTACCTGTATAGTTTTGTCTGGATGCAAGGTTGTTCACCCTTTACTTTTGCTAGTGACCAGCGCTTCCTAGAAATAGGTCGTCTTGCTTCCGTAGGCCCTCTCCCATAAGGAACAGTTTACCAGCTGGGTTTATGGGGCTAATGGTACCCAGCATTTGGACATCTACAGGGTCAGAAAACTTAGACACACTTTTAAATGTATTGTCAGTGGTGTGTATTTCAGATTATTTGTGGTAAGTAAGCTAGGTACGTAAGTGCATGCACAATAGCAGGACTTAGTCCCTAGGCTCTCTGGTCTGCAGTTGGTCTGTTAACTGCTACAGATCACTCCAAGGGAGGTTTGCCAGCCTACTGCCAGCGTGCTGACTGAGACTTACAGTGCTGCACTTTGATCAAGATATTTCTCTAACATTTTTCTCACTTTTTCTCTATCATGTTAACTGGGGGGAAAATGTATACCTTGATCAAAGGAATCACTGCCTGTATTCCCCTAAGATCATCACTAGTACAGCTGAACTGATTAAATATTTGTTGATTGATGAATTTTGTATATTTTATTAAAAAAGAAATACCAGGAGGCAGTACGCAGGCGATTCACTCAGATTGTCTATGCTGATTCAGAGTTCTGGGCAGAGGAAGACAAAAAAGGTAAGTGGTTTATATGTTGTTGTTTTTTTAATGCAATCTATCTTAAAATTTTAACTTTTGCAAACCAGGTTACACGCGGATGTTACATTTGATAACATTGATTCATTTGGACCTTGGTATGAGAGACTATCCAAAGGAATCTTTAGGAAGTTTTGCTTTAAATTAATATCTAAAGGTAGGTGAGGCATCACTGAGAACTTTGCAAGCTAGAGGTCTGGCCCTCATTTGCCTCTGTTTGAATAAAGTTAGTGGAGAGGCATGTGGACACACATCTCTTGCCCATGTGATCCAGTTGGAGGTTCATGGTCTCAGTCTTTTAACAGGTAACATTTGATATTGATATAAGTCACATCTGGTTTCTTTATTCCTTTTCCTAATCCTTTGATAAAATAGGATTTTTTTTCCTTAGCAACTCTGATACAATTTCTCATTCTCCATGTGGGTGACACATCATAAATGTCGTGCACAAGAAACTAAAAATATATTGTTCCTCCATCCCCCAGTTCTGCAACTGCTACTAGCTTTTCTGTGCTAACACTGGGCGTGTTCCCCTACACTCTGTCCCAACATTTGTTTCCATGCCTGCTTATTTAGATCAAGACCAGATCCCACTGACTGGTGAGTAGAAAACCCTTTATGGTGACTGCTTTTCTAGGCTCGTTTTCTCCATCTCTCACATGCAGTGTATTTTAGTTTCTTACTGAAAAAAAAATTGGTGGCCTTCACATGGTGGAGAAGGGAGGAAATCAGCAACTTACTTGGTTAATTCTATTCCCCTGTGAGCAATTTTGGAAATCCCACCTTGACTTTGTAGCTGAAGAGCTCAGCACTGCTAACATTTATCTTCTCAAAGGCCTTACCTTTGGGATGGAACCGTGCTCAAACTGAGGATTCTCCTACTTTAAATGAACTTTTCTGATTCAGGGAAGCCTTTTAATGTTGTTTTCTTCCTTTTAGATAGAGAACATGCATCAATAGATAAAAGGCCTGTGTCGCCTCACCCGATCCAGATAACCAGGTTGATGGGGCACAAAGAGCCAGAAGTGGACATTGTATTGGAAAAACCTTTTGATAGCAAGTGAGTAGAAAAGCCTAAAACATGTCCACATGTTTGCACTGTGTGTGCATATATTTTTCCCGTGAAGAGTCAATGTACTAGTGTTTGTTATTTAAGGAGAATTTTGCTAGCGTCTGTAAGGGCATTCTGATGTATTGAATATTTGTGCTCTCAGTGCTGTTGATGAAGATATGGAGATGGAGGAGAAGTCAAAGTCTGGAAATGACCTTCTGCAGCTTTTGATTCCAAATGCGTCCTGGCAGAAGGAAGGCTGCACTTTCCTCTCTATTCCAAGACACATGCTCCAGAGCATTCTTGATTATAACAACAGATATGACCAGCACCTAAAGCTTATTTCCCACGAGGCAGTTGGAAGCTTCAATCCGTGGCATATTGCTGAGAGGTATGTGAGCTACTGATGTGTTTGCTTTTTGTTTAGTAAATGTGCCAGGTTATAGACCTGCCTCTCTAGTCTGATTTTAGAAATGGAGAGGGGAAAAGTAGGCTGTTTTTACATGCCAAAGAGAAAGCCAGAAGGCTTAGGCCAGTGGCTGATGGGCTGCTTCTTAATTGATCATTGACATTCATGGATCATTAAAGAGAAAATTAAATGACCTGGTAGCAGAATATCTTGGAAGAGTAATTATATTTCACATCTTTGTACAGCATCCAGCAACACCACAGAGCCAGCTCTGTCAGGTGTGTGAAATATAGATTGTCTCAGTCTATCTCAGGGAGTCTAAATCAGGGGTGTGTAATTCTCAGTTTTCATTTTAACTCATTTTGTGAAAATCCGCTTTTATTGCTGGAGGAAATCGCAAGTTTCCTGGCCCAGTGGAGAACCTGCCTTGAAGCCTTAGCTGGAAACTGTTTGACACCATGGTCGTGCTTTGGTTTTTATTTAACAAGTGAAATGGACAGTTGCACTGTCATCTGAAAAATATCAGCCAGGCCAGTGACAGGTGAAATGAAGCAATAAGCTTTAATCTTTTTTTTTCTGTGTTTAAGAAAAAATAAACAAAGGTATTGAAAGAAACAGAGAATAAGTTTGCAACCTTTATTTTTCACAGTGGAGGGGTTGTGAAGTTGCACTATGGAGCAGAATGCTTTTAAAAGAGTGGCTGGCTTTAGGGCAAGTTTTATTGTAAGAGGAAATTTGGAAAAAAACAGCCTTTTAATTGGAATGTCGCCAGGTGAGCAGCCTATGGCTTGGTTTAGCCCACAGTCCTTTGCAATGCAAATGTTAGAGTTAAAGTGACACGCATCTAACTGCTGCTTATTTCTTAGCAAGAAAAAAAATGCCCTGTTTTTTCTCATATACAACATGCACCTTTCAATAAACAGCTGCTGGAAACTGGAGTGAGCGTTATATTTGAAAAATACAGTAAGAGCAGTTTCTGCTGCTTGTTGGGCAAAAGCAAAAGTGAAGTCTGCACTGATCCACAGGGGGAGGACAGTGAGTAGGTTTGGCTCCCTAGCTGCTGCTAACCAGCTGCTTTACTATAGGGAAAGATCTTTTTTTTTTTCATTCTGCCATTCAGAAGCAAGATACATATCTTATTCCAGGGCACATTGTGCATGAGAAAATACAGTACTGGTTTTCTGTCCTCAACTTTGATAAGCAGTCAGGGAAGTAAAAACTGAAAAATCCCACTAATAAAAAATTAGCCAGCCTAACAGGTTTGAATTAAGTTTTTTGGTTCTCTCAGCGTAAGGAACAGTAAATAAACAAGGTAATCTCTCCTAAGACTTTCTTTTTCTGGAAGTGTCTCAGTAAATGTCCAAGACAAAGTTAATTTTCAATTTGTGAATGGTGTCATTGAAAAATCAGCCTTGCTTAGTTGCTGGTGGTCTGAGTCAGGTCTCAGCCCAGGAAAGCACATGAGCGTGGGATCAATTTTATGCTTGTAAGTGGACCTGTCCTTGGAGAATTAGTTGTCATGATCTTGCAAACGATAGCACAAGATCAAATGGATATAATCTGGCCAGGGATAAATTTAGCAGAGGAAGGTTTCTGACTACCAGAGGACTGAGGGGGCAAACAGCTACCTAGTTTTAAGGTGGAATCTGCTCAGTTAATGAAAGGGGTGTTACATTTATTGAACCCAGAGGTCTCCTTCAGTCCTGTATTCCAGAAGCTTACATGCAGGTGTAATGTTATTGCTGAGTAGTCCCATTGAAGTCAGTGCCTTAGTCACTGGAGTAATATTTAGCTTTTGAACCAGTGTTTGTCAGATCAGGCATGTTCAGCTTGTGGAAAAGGTGCCTAAGAGGGGACACAATAGCAGCCTTTAAATACCTGAAGGGCTGCCATAAAGAAAAGGGAAAACACCTTTACTTATTTGCTGCAGAAAGCAGGATGCAGACTAATGGCTTGAAGTTGCAGCAAAGTAGGTTTAGATTGGATATCAGGAAAAGTGTCTTCACTGGTAGAATAGTGAAGTAGTGGTATAGGCTGGCTTCATCACTGGAGGTGTTCAAGAAGAGGTTGGACAGCCACTGGTTGGGGATGATCTAGGTGTAGCTATGCCTGTCTTCTATGAGTATTTCCATGCTTCTGGGCTTTGCTGGTTGCCAGATGGAGCTGGGAGGAATTCTGCCCCTCCCTGTCCCCTTGCTGCTACATGTCAGGGATTTTTTTAAAGCCTCCCTTGGAGGCATTGGGCGTTGGCTGCAGCCAAGGCTGGAGATCTTGACTGACGTGTGCCAGTGCCCCTGCTGGGACTTAAAACTGGAGGTTCCTGGCTAGAGGGTCTTGCCCCCTCCACTCAGGGGCAGACTGATTGCCAGATTTGGGGTCAGGAAGGAATTTGACCCCATGGTCAGGTTGGTCCAGGGGCAGGAGTTTGCCACCTTCTGTAGCAGGGAGTGTCCCCCTCTACCTGGGATCTCTTGGATGTATAGTAACAACCTTTTACCAAAGCAGGACATTGGCTGCCATAGTCCCCCTGCTTTACCTCTGGCAGGTTAGAGTGTTATGTGTTGTGTTGTGTTGTGTTGTGTCAGGGTTGAATGTAGCTTTGCAAAGGGGCTCGATTATGGATTTGTATAGGATGGTTTGGATAGGGATGATCCTGCCTCAGGCAGGGGCTGAACTAGATGACCTCTGGAGGTCCTTTCCAGCCCTGCCTCTTTCTGGTTCTGAGCCCTCTGGTGTTAATGGGATGGATCATGTGCTTAAAGCATGTTTTAGTGATTTGCTGGATTGGGCCTAAGGGCTCTGGTGACCTTGAATTGCCTGCTGTACCGGAGTCAGGTAAAAATGAGCCGCTAAAACATCCTGTTTTATGCCTGTCACGTTCCAGCACTGTCACCATAGACTGCTGGTAATTGGCACTGGGGGGAGCTTGTGTACCTCAAAGACTTCAGCACCCTCCTCTGGATCAGAGAAAGGATTAAATGAAAGTGAGCGTCACTCCTTCTGGCAGCTGAATCCCAACACTGTTTGCCTCTGTTATGCATAGTGTTATTTGAAATCAGAATCAAAATGCAATGCAGTATGAGAGCCTCCTTGCTGATGTTTTCACCACGAGGGGGTGCTGTGCATCTTGTCTCTCATTGCACGTACCAGTAAATGTTGCAAAGAATCCAGCCTCATCTGCATTCTCGAGCAGGGGTTTTCAGCCTTTTTTCATTTGCGGACCCCCTAAAAACTTTCGACTGGAGGTGCAGATCCCTTTGAATTGTAAGTGTGGGGGTAGTCACATACTTTTGATTGATCATAGCCATCTTTCGTGGACCCCTTAGACGCATAGTCTGTGGACCCCCACGGGTCTGCAGACCACAGGTTGAAAACCACTGTTCTAGAGATCCTAGGATAACACCCAAAGGTGAGTTTTGTACAGTGAACGTAAAATTATTGAGAAGGAGAAATTTTGAACTAAGGCAGTCAAGAGCTGCATACTCAAATGCAGAAATCCTCTGTTCTATTCTGTGAGGTCTTCTGTAGTTCTGGGCTCTCTTCAGACAAATACCCCAACCCCGCTTCTCTCCTGAGAACATCCTTGCCTTCACAAGGGCCTCCTCCAATGACCGCTGAATTAAGTTGGGAGTCTTTCAGTTTACTTCAGTGAGCTTTGGAACATGCCCACGGGATGTGAAATCTCTCTACTGGAAGCACTGTGGCTGTATCCATCATTCAGAAGAAGAAAATGATCGCAGACCTTCCAGTGCTCAACGTATTACTTGTTTATTTGGAAGCTGGGCAAAGCTGAACAGTTCAGATGCTTCCCTTCCTTCCCCTCACCCCCCGCACCCTCTGTAAAGGAAACCCTTTGGTATTTGAACAGGATGGTTCTGCGGCATGGGCTTTTACAGTGTATATTGCACCAGTGAAGTACAAACCATTATTTTTTAAGCATTGCTATATGTGAAAGGAGCGAATGATGCCTACTTGAATTTGCCTGGGTTACTCCCAGGAATCTGACCTGTGCTCTTAAGCTTTCTTTTCCTTCCTTTAGCCTCGCAGAGGAACTGACAGAAGAAGCCTTGTGCGACGTGGCGGCAGAGTTGCAGGATGTCTGTGAGGATTACGCAGAAGCCGTGTTCACGTCGGAGTTCTTGCAGCCCACCGAGTAAATGATTTGAAACCTGCCCTGTCGGCCAGTGGAGTGCCCAATGCCAGCCTCAGAAGCATATGGGCTCCTCATGTGAGATCCCTTTGTCCCGCCTTCATTTTAAGGCACACAAAATCCTGCTCATTTTATGAATGAAATTTGGAAGGGATTAATTTCAAGGTCTTTAAAAAAAAATTATGCCTGTACTTCCATTTTCAGATTTCAGTTTTATCAGGGGGCTGATGAGTGGCTTTGATTATAATGAAGCAAACCGCTGAGGGCACAGTTTACATATAACGGCAGGGCTGTTAATCCTTTCCTGTATCTGTGATTTAGTTTTATATCAGTCTTTTTTATGTGTGCAGTAGAGTGGCTGGAGCAAGGCCCTGGCACTGACTTGGACTTATCCAGTCTGTCCCCATTTCTTCCTTTGTAAAATGGGGATAGTACTACTTACCTACCTCACAAGAAGACTGTGGGGCTTATTTTTAGTTGACAAATAACTGTTTGTAAAGCACTTTGAGCACCTCCAGGAGGTGTGTAGGAAATCAGGAGTCTTATTTATCAGTCTAGGACCCAATGGAAAATTTTAATTGAGGCAGAGAATGCCACTGGGTTTGTCTTTAATTTTTACAGCATCACATAAAAAGACATAATTGGTTTGTCTGACCAGCTGGGTTAACATTCTCCAGTCCTGTTAGCGAGCTTTTGAAGCTAGAGGCAGTAATCCAAAGGGGTGATTCTCATGGCACATCATGCAGCCGGTGCAAACCTTCTGAACAAAAGCTGGAAGGGGCAGGTTCAGTTTGCCTTGCTGTTGCAGTTCAGCCCTCAGCATAGAGCTCCTTCTGGCTATGTATTAATGCTTCCTCAAAGTGTTTTCAATCCAATATGCGTATTTGGATTAACATTCAACAGCCCATGCAAACAAGAGTTTCTAATGACAGAGGATTTGTTTCTTTAATGTTAGCCTGAAAGAATATCATTCTCTTAGGACTTAACGGCCAGTCCTGCATTCCTTTGTTATTTCAAGCACCACTGAAATTGGTGAGCATTAGGGGTGAACAGGGGATGTGGGATTAGCACCTAAGGCCGTCAGACAAACCATTCAGCATATTCTTTCCAGTGATAGTCACGTCTCAGTTCTGTGATCGGGTGGGTATTTACCCTGAATATGTAAGCACAGTAGTAACTTGGGGATGGCACGTGAGACTTATCAGTGTCCATTTGTGCCAACACCTTTTTGTGCCACGTGATATCTGTGTGTAGCAAAATACAAAGAAACCAAAAACCCCACATTCCTGGTTCTGGGAAGCCTACGTCAGGAGCACAAAAAATGAACAAGTAAAATGGGATTTATGACAAAACATAATGGCTAAAACTTGGGTCCAAACCTTCAGTTCACCTCTAAAAAGAAACAGAGAACTCCTACTGTGAAGAATTCCTTTTGTGCAATAAGGCCTCACTCATTACCACATGCTTCCCAGCTTGAGATGGTTTTGTATTCCATAAAATGAACCCTACATTTTTCTAAAGCGTAACCCAACTTGTTTTTATTAAAGCCTGTATTGTAATACTTTGTGCTCTGTTTTGTTGTGGAATATTTATTTGGTGCTAGACACTGGGTGGTTTTATAATTCAAAGCAAAAAAAACACTAGACTGCCTAAGACTGCAGTTTATTTTTCCAAATGTATTGAGGTAAGTTTATTTTTTTTTTAAATCTAGCCTAACTAAAATACTGCTGTGTGTGTGAAGATATTTTGAAGTACTTGCATTGTTTTTGAATAAACGTTTGTGTTTTTAAGAGGACTTGTTTATTTTTAATGTTAATTAGAATAACATGGCTCGAAATCCCATTTGTAGCATAAACAATGAATAAGAGATTTCTGAATTCCCTCTTAGTGAAGGGCTCTTTACTTCTGCTGTCCTCAGCAAAGCTAATAGGGAGGCTAGAACATTACATTTTGATCTAACCAAAATGGAAGGGCAGTACGCTGTTTGTCGCACTGCCCCTGCAGCAGCATGAGAACGTGGCACAGGCACCGTCTCTCCTTGTTGGTACCCACACTATTCCAGGGATGAAATAATCTGTGGTAGGGCTATATGTGTTGCCTGTTGTATCCGTGATGTATCAGCTGTCTGCTAGGTACATTGAGAACATAGAAGCCGCTTCTCTTCTCCTCTCCTCTCCTCTCACATTGCTACCTGCACAGTGGGCAGTGCCTTTTGCTACTGGATCAGTCAGGTCACAGTTTGGCTCTTGAGTAATGGGAAATAATCTGGGCAATAAATAAAGAGTAACATTATTTTCTCCCTGCATAAATTCCTACCAGGCTTTCAGTCATGCCAGCCAGCTTTGAGATGATGCTAAACTGAACTCTGATCCCAGGGGTGATGGTGGTTTGCGCTGCCTCCGAGTGGGATCAGGGCCATGGGGGGGATTCATGAGAGGACGCTCCTGCCTTTTTCCTAAGGAACATAAGGACTGACAGGTGCTACAGTCCAGAGCATTGTTTATTCAAGTCATCGTGGATTACAGGCTAGACACTTCACAGACATGGCGGGGGGCCCTGCCTGGAAGCTCTTGTGATCCTATGACCAAGCTGCATAAATAATTCCCATCATATTACTGGGTCTTGCAAAGACCCAGCCTGGAAGCTCATCCTCTGACCATGCTGCATAAATAATTCCCATCATATTACTGGGTCTTGCAAAGACTTTAGCTCTTCTGAAGTCAATGGGAAAGCCCATAGCTTTTCAGTCTATGTAGGTTTTGCAGAGTCAGAGTCTTAGATGGGATGCATGGGGGGGGAAAAAGCATGGATCTGAACAGCTCCATTCTAAAAGTAACATCTTGTTTAATTAGGGCAGGGTTGAGGGAGAACTGAAGTGTACAGGGCCCTGCTGGAGAAAAGGGGGTTTAAAACAGTGACTCTGATGCAAGCAGTATGGGGGAGAGGCTGCTGGTTGCATGAACTGGGGTGAAGAAAGGGGCTGCTCTTCAGGAACTTGGAGAGAGGACCCCAAAGCCAGGCCTGCTCAGTTGGGTTCCAGAAGTGCCTTCCGTAACCCTTGAACATGTACACTAGGTACTCAGTAAATATTTAACTGTAGAAATTAAAGAGGTGAGCTGCTGGGTGTGAGGTAGTTATGGTAACGGGGCTTGTTCTATCAGGGCTTTGGAGAGCTCCTTTTTCCTTGGAAGCTGGGCCCAATTTTAATAGTCAGCGAGGAGGTGTGGGGGGACTGCCTGCTGGAGGAGCAAGACTGGGCTCCTTAATTCCTAGGATGCCAGTTACTCTTGAGCAGTGCCTGATCGTTTACCTTGATCCTCTTGTGCCTTTTGATCTTTTTGATTTAACTAGTTGACAGAAGTGCTTCTTTTTGTTAGATATTTTGGTGGTACCTGGAAGAGACGCCCTGTGGCTGTTCCTAAAGCATTATACATGCCTTAGAAACCGTCAGCTCGATAGAAATCTTCAGTGAAGATTTCATTGAAGCCATCAAGTCTTAGGTAAGGCCGAACAGTTGCATAACGTGTTCTTCCACCAAGACCAACCTCACTCCTGGCAACCTGTCCTGGGTGCTAGAGGCCACTTGCATGTGGCAATCTGCTCTGGGAGTGCAGAGCTAAAGGAGCTGCTGTGAGATCAGAGGAGCTCAGTTATTGTCTCATTATTTCCTCACATTCTCCGTGTCCTCCATCTCCACCTGGTGTCTCTTGTTTTGTGTAGATTGCTAGTTCTTGGCAGGGAGTACCCTTGAATATGTGTGTATAGCTCGTCCTCTAGATGGTACGCCGCCATCAAGTCCTGTCCATCTCAGGCTTCACCACACTACCACTAATACGTAGCAGCAGCCATTGGGAATGGTGGCCTATAGATCCCTGCCTTGCAGGTCTGAACACCAGCATGACAGCTAGTACTAGAATGGATTTCAAACCTAGATCTAACCAGATTTAGAGAGAGCCATGGGGCAGGGGCTACCTTACTTAGAAATAAAAGTAACTTAAACTTGGGTGTTCAGAGTTCAGCACTTTGTCCCATTAATTTCAATGCTGACAGTATCCTCTTTCCCTCCTGTGTCTGTCTTCCTTGGTGCTCACGGGAAGAAGGCTGCCCCCACGGGACAAACTCGGGCATATGCCCAGCAGCAGGGCGTGCGACACTTCGGAGAGCTAGATCTAAAATGGGTGTTCTAATATATTTTTATGTTTATGATCAGCTCCCGGACGCAGCAGGGTGCTTACAGAGATGCGTGATGCGTAAGTATGGGCTTGGAAGGATTCATATATTTAAGGCTGCCGAATTGGGGTTAATTTAATTGGTCTGCATCTATGCAATTCTGGAATTTACCTTCAACAAAGTGTTTGCTGTTAACATACCTTAAGTATTTTTTTTTTTTAGCTGTAGTCCTGGCAGTGCAGCAGATCCCTATTGTATAGCGTGGACCTACAGCATTTAATTACCTCTAAATTCTTTCCCTTCACTGCCTTCATTCTTCATTTATTGGCTATACAGACTCAAGAGCCAGGACAGTCTGTGCCAGGAAGAATTTACAAGCCTCAAGCAAATGTATTCCACCAGCTCATCTGAGGACCATCCTTGACAGGGCATTTGTATTGTGATTTTGTCTATGAGAGAGAGCGGGTACCATGTTCTTTTAGCGCATGGCAGAGAGAGGATTAACTCCACCTAAGGGGTAGTATGCCCACAGCTGCACTGTATTTGCTGAGGGAATCATTCCTTAGGAGCAGGCCAGGCTCAGCCCAGACAAGGTGAATTTGTCATGATCAAAGGCCTTGAGGTCAGTTTGCAGTATAGGAGATTTGAATCTGTGGGAGCAGATCAGGTAAGGTGAGCCCAAGCAGTCCACTTGTTGACTTGGCACAGCGGCCTCAAGCCCTCTTGGAGCTGCCACTTTAAACTTTTGGCTGTGAGAAGCTTTTTCTTTCCTGCCTTATGTGATGTAGGAAAGCTGCCTGCGCACCTGACCTGATGTGGAGAGTCTGCTTGGACAGCAGGGTACATGCAGGTGGTTTCAGCTGTTACGTTACTGCTGAGATCTGGCTCCCCACTGGCTTCACTGGAGCAGCACTTGAGCCAGCCAGCAGAGCTGCACAGGTGAGACTTCTGGCAGAAGAAAGGCTAATGGGGAAAAAGGAGATGTCAAAATAAATACGAGGGAGATGGGATACAAGCCAAAGAAGATGCTTTACAGTGGAAGCAGTCTACAAGTATCTAAGGGCTGGGCCTGTAAGGCAGACGGGAGCACCTCTCCTAGTTTTGTGTAACAACATGGATTCATTTTCTTCTAATAGCTCTTCGCTTTACTCCATTAGGCAGGGAGCAACAGCAGTTACTCAGTACGCGCTGTGTTAAGGGTTTCATCCTGAGAACTGCTGAGACACCTACCAACTGCCTGGGGTTCTTGCGACCAGGAGCAGAAGGTAAAACTAAGATTGTCAAACCCTCCAACTCTCTGACACAGGTTCATGTTGACGTCCTTGGGACTGACTGGCTTCCTTGGCAGCTTCAAACATCTCAGCCCTTTCTGCTTTGTTTCAAAGTGGTCTCTTGAAACTCCAGCCTGCTACAGTGGTTGTCACACTTCTCTTGTTACCTGGTATCAATAAGCTTTGTGCAGGGAGGAGATGTTAGGCTTTTATAAGGAACCCAGGCTTTCTGCAGAAAACTTTTTCTGCGAAGTGTGACCTGATCAGAAAGGCTTTGTTGTGGTCCCCTCTTTCTGATTGAAAAGGAGGAACAAGCTTAGACCATCTTTGCTCAAGCCACAGGTCTCAGAGGGTTAGAAAGCGGTAAGGTTTTGTAAGACTTGGAGACCAAGAAGAGACACGTATCTGTTGATGGTGAGTGAAACCAGTCCAACTTTTTAGCAGCTCTTGTAAATCTTGTAAAGCAGGTCTTTGTACCTCTGTGGTAGCCTTGTAATCCTAGGAATCTTTCCAGGGGGGACTACTTGGGATCAGCCCTTTTGTTTATGGCTGCATGTCAACTGGGAATCCTGCGTGCCATTGTTGTCCAGCTGCTCCACAGCCCAAACTACAGTGGGTGCCGGGGTCTGTTCTGTGGGGCAGAATTGTCTAGCAGGTGGCTTGTTTGGATCAGTTCGCAGCTGTGGCCAAGGTTGCGACTAGAAGGCTTTCCTTGCTGTGGTCCTCATGCCACAAGTAGCAG